ACATTGGAGGTAGAGTTAGGCGTGATAAATTTAAGTGTACGACGATACAGTGCCAGAACAACATTGCAATCTATGTCCGCTGCAGCAAAGCGTGGCGCATGGTTTACCTATTCTGGAGTAGTGGGAATGCTTTTACAATATTGAAGTTGTAATTTTGTCGAGGTCGAGGAAGTATCTATTTGGGGCTTTTGATGAATGAGCGGTTCTATATCGATAAACATTATGATAAAATCGAAGGGACGTGCGCAGTATACAATTTATAAAGCTCTATCTATAAGCAATTTCACGGTTTTTGCAAAAGCCCATAAGGTTTATTTCCATTGTTCATAAGATGAAGATTTATTGTACAAACGAATCTCAGATGGATAAACTAGAAACAAGATTTAAGATAGTCTGTAGTTTGATTGATTGATTGTAGCTAATTTAATCAAATAATTCTTCTTACAAAATGTCAACTCAACCCAATTAACTCTTATGAGAATAGATTAGAACTAATGATGATGGTATGGAGCTTGTGTTTTTAAGTTTGAAAATAGATTTTTTCAGCAGAGTTTTCTATGATTTGGATAAATTCTTGAGAAAAGCTATTTCGTAAACTCCAATTATTCAAAGTTATATTTTGAATAGCAGTCTACTCTTCATCAAGTGCTTATATTTATAGCGTTTTTACTTTTTTCCTGATTTGACAATACAACACTTACGTCTTCTCTGCACAAAAAAATAAGTATAAAATATGATTAAAAAATTAAATTAATGATTGAATACCAAGCAGCCGACCTCCGTGCCAGATCGCTACAGTAAATGTAAATCAGTGACCCACCGTCGCGCAAAGCAAATTTGTTTCATTATCGTTTACATGGTGCATAAGGTTTTGCTTACGAACTTTGAATAGCCCAAAACACTTTATAACGTTAGTCGCTCGTCGCTGAGGTGGCGAAAAGGGAGGGTGGTAGCATCTTATGTAAGCTTCAAGTAAGCGTAGTATCATACCTAGTGCAATCAGCCCTATTCTAACGTTTGGATATGATTGATTTTTTTGATTTCCAAATTGGAAAGCACACTGCTCTTCTTTGTTTTGTGACTCTAAAAAATTCCCTTTTGAATCTCTAACTTTTACGTCAGAGTCATAGGCGTTAGAAAAGAATGATTCGCAATAAATATGATGGTTTACCGCCTCATCGTGGCGCGGGGGTGACTCTGGGTGTCGAACTGCGAAGTACAGCGGAGGTTTAACCTCTAGCAGGGTCTCCCCAGCTGAGGAATTCGATGTTTTCGGTTCCCCGGATGCCCAGCTAAGAGTAGGCCATGCTAGGAGCCCCACCGTCTGGCTGATTAAGTCGCTAGGTAGTTCCCTGATCCATATAGGTCAGCGATTGCCTTTGATTTCTGGCAAGGCTGTTAAGTTTGGGAAAAAATTTTATCGCCTATCATCAACTGCTACTCTCCAACATCAGCAGCTGGTGATTCGGAACTTGATGCTTTTTGTAAGGATTTGGAGGAAGTCATCCACAAAGAGAAGTCCTTCTACAAATTCGTCGTGGTGACTTCACCGCGAAAATTGGGATGTGAAGAAGGGGAGCATAGGATCGGGAGATTTGGAACAGGACTCCGGAATGAGAACGGCAACCGTCTTGTTGGGCTCTCGTCTGCCGCACGACTTTTTCATGGCAATCCCATCTTCATGAAGAAGGAACATCGGCGGTGGACGTGGAAGTCACCCAACGGTACGACTCATGCGGAGATTGACCACATTCTCACCAACCGAAGGCGGTGCTTACTGGACGTCTCAGTGATTGAGATCATCGCCTCCTTCGCGCAAAAGCGCGATTCAACTGAAAGCTGGAAAAAAAGGTCTGTCACCGTGTTGAAAGAAGGAAAGAAGTCGTATATGACGGCCAGACTGGAGGAGCTCCTGACCACTTGTGACTGGCCCAACGAGGTAGATCCAACGAAGGACTACGATTTGCTTCTCAGAGGACTGAAAGCCTGTGGTGAAAGTGCCCCAATGTCTCAAACAAGGAACTTGGAACGAATTTCGAAAGCCACCAAGGATCTGCTAGAGAGGAGGAGAGATTGAGCCTGGATCCGACTGCATCACATCTCGAGCGACTGGTAGCCAATACCAGCTGCAGAACAGCTTTGTAAGAAGATCTTTGAAAGTACAGGCAGTCGAAAATTTTGGAAGCAGCGTAAGGAAGGGGAAGTCTAAAGAAGTACCGCAGGGACCTTCTCGACTACCACGTTCCGCTGAACACTACTAAACGAAGACGGGACTCGCACATCTTCCCAACAAGAGATGGAATCGATCACAATGAGATTCTACGCCAATCTTTTTCACTCGTCAAATCCGTGTCAAACCCCGTTATTCCCACTGAAGATATACCACCAAGGATTCCACCTGGAAGTACGCGCCGCAATTCAGACTATGAAGGTAGCCACGGCTCGGGGATCATGTTTCGGTCGACCTCTTACGAGCTGGAGGACATCGCCTACACGAGATAATTGTGGAACATCTAACGTCTTACCTTCAAAAGGAAACGATCGCCGACCAATGGAAAACCTCCCGAACAATCCTCCTCAAGAAGGGCGATAGGGAGAATCTTCGGAACACCGTCCAATATGCCTGCTGAGCGTGCTTTACAAGCTTTTTACGAAGATTATTCTCGCTCGCATATCAAGGACACTGGATGAAGCCCAACCTGTAGAACAAGCTAGATTTCGCCAGGGATTCAACTGCATGGGTTAAATCCAGACAATTTCGAGGATAATCGAGGTTTGTCGAGAATACCGCCTACCTCTCGTCCCTTGACTATGAGAAAGCGTTTGACAGCGTCGAGACTAACGCCATACTGTCGACGCTCGTCGACCAAGGGGTGACCCATCTTATGACTACGAGAAAGCGTTTGACAGCATCGAGACTAACGCCATACTGTCGACGCTCGTCGACCAAGGGGTGGACCCATCTTACGTGAGGACATTGGCCGACTGCTACAGGAATTGCGCTACAACGGTACAGCTTTTCCATCGTCTCCCTGACATACCAGCTTCGAAGGGGGTTCGACAAGGCGACTGTGTCGCCGAAGCTGTTTACCGCCGCCTTGCAGTGGGTGATGAAGTCACTGGATTGGAGTGAAAGAG